AAAAAAATCATGACCTTATTATCATGCTCACTTCCATCCCTCCAGCACAAGTCAATCATGGGAACAATTAAACAGTTCTGGAATTAAAAGTGACAATTAAAAAAGAAACAGCGATAAGAATGGAGTGGCAGGAAGGGAAAATTAAATTGTTTCTTTCCCCCCCTCCTCTTTGCTCCCTGTATCATATTGCTGTTGAAGGAGTAATATAGTTTTGCCTTATTAGATATCAGTTTATAAAATTTACCTGTGCTACCTAAACCCTACCCGTATCCGCACACTTTTTCCTACTTCTCCTCAGTGGTCGTTCATCCAGTGAGCCAATCCCACTTAAATTTATTGCTCCTTGATATGTAAATCAAGGCTCCGACTGCATCACATTTAAATACGTGCTTCAAATACCGTTTAATAGCGAGGGGATTCTGTGGGTTATCATGCTGCCTACGCTGTCGGGTCAGGATTTGACTTTCTGGCTGTGTCTATTAGTCCCCAGTCTGTTTTCCTGGGTAGCAAGAGCAGTTAGGGTCTGCTCCTGGCCACCCCAGGCTGCTAATGTGGAAACTGGGAAAAGCAAGGCATGCTCTGTAACACTGGAGATGGTTTTTTTGTACCTGAACTCCTAAAATCTTTTCAGTCATGCTACAAGCATGTTTTCTGCTATATCTCCCTCATTTGGTCTCTTCTTCAGGCTAAATTAAATTCTTCCACCCACATACATTTTCTTCTCATTTATGGTTTCAGCTCACTCTCTCTGGAATCCTCCATTTGTCCTAAATCTTTCCTGAAGAGCAGTGCCTGAAACTGGGCATAACATTTACCTGGAGCCTCTTCTGAGCTGGGCACACTGACAGGAGTATTCCCACTTGCTATGTGTTAAAGACTAGCCTGTATATCCCAGAATGGCATTTGTCTTGCTCACCATACTGACACTGTTGATTTCTGCTGATCATGTCATCCACCGTATTCCCCAGATATTTTCTAAATAATTTTCTATTGAGCCAGCTGTTGCTGGCCGCCGGGCAGCTGATTGTTTCTGCACATACTGAAGTTCATCCAGCTGTTCTCAGAATTTTCCAATTTATCAAGAACATTTTCAGTTCCAATCCTGTCTCTAAGAATATCTGCATCCCCTCTCCATTTCGTGTCATCTGCAAATTTAACAAGCATACTGTGTATTCCATCATCCATAGTATAAACAAAAATGCTTGGAAAATTAGATACAGATTCAGGATGAATCTCCATATAATACTGCTTGATACCTCTTCCATTTGGACACGGAACCTTTATAACTACTCTTTGAATATAGTTTTACAGAGTTTTGTTTCATTTTGTTTTTATTTTGCACCCATGCTAGCCTATCTCCATCTAGATGATTTACTTTTTGTTTGTTTGTTTGTTTTGCTTGCTCATAAGAATGCTACCCAAGACAATGCCAAAAGCCTAAGTCAAAATATGCAACAGTTACTGCTTCTCCCCTGCGCTAACACTCTTAAACCATCATACTGGCTGTTATTCAGCTCCTTGTTTTTCGTCTCAGTCTTTAGACCAAGTTTACTTTTTTCCAGGATGTTCTTTCTTTTTGGAAGTTGAAGGTAAAGTTGCTGAGCTTTTACTTGTCTCCTTGCTCCCTTCCCCAATTTTTTTTAACACAGACCCTGTACTTATACTATTCCCATGGTTGGTGGCTCACCAGACCCCAGCTGTCCTTCTGAAAAGTAACTGCTAACGTGTCTGAGACTGTTTCAGGCAGTTTTTCACATATGCTAGACAGATGTTCATCAGGTTCAGCCAAATTAGCAACACATTATTCTAAGTGCTAATTTGCTCATTCAGGCTATTAGGTATTTTAACATTTATTTACCCTTCTCTTGCTGATATTACCTGTACCAGCCACCTGCTCACCTTTTCAGCGATGAGTGAAGAAAAAAGCTCACTTTGGCATTTTTGGCCTCCTCTGCCCCCTTTCCTGTTGAGCAGGGTGGCCACGTTTCTTTGCTTTTACTATCAATGTTAATGCATTCAACTCATAGTGTCTTGTACTGTTTGAAATGAAGAGGGAGTGCTTCCATGTGTTTCTGTGGAGGGACTGTATCCCTTCACGAAGAAACATGTCCCGCTGTTTCAGAACTGCTGGACATAGGTTGTCACTGTAACAGCACTGTTGGCTCACCGGGTCAAAGCCTCCCCTTGCTACAAGCCCTCCAGGTTTGCTACCAGGGCAGGGTCAGCTGGTGTGCTGCTGATACAGCAGACCTGAAACTGGCTTTTCTGGGGGAGGCAGGAGGGGCTAAGAGGAGCCTGTTTTAGCCGCATTAAGTTGTCACCATCTTGAGGAGGTGAAGCAAGCTGTGCTAGGGAGACAAAAGTGAGAGCCACTTTGAAATATTAGCTCATTGAAGCTGTCATTGCCTGTTACTAGCACTGAGAGCAAATGCTACCTGGGCATCCTGGCACACACTGACAGTTAATGCAAATGTACTCTTGCCTTTCTCATTAGCTTTCTCATGGGCTGGCACTGGGTTTGGGGAACGGGATGTTGAGGTCAGGCTGTGCCCTGACCTTCTGGCATGGCCTCCTGCAGGCCTGAGTGTCTTTCATAAGTTGTGTGGCTGTCTGCCAGGGTGTGCAGCTGTTTTAAGGTCTTGTCCAGCTCCCTGAGGTACAGAGAGCTGGCCTAAGCACCAACCTGCTCCTTGATTGCTGCCTGGTCCTTTGTCTCAGTGCAACATTGAAAGGAGTTGCATTGTTTTCCTCCAAATTCCTGTCCCTTTGGAGACAGCTCACAAACCTCTTGTCCTCCTAGTTCTGCTTCTGTGGGCTTCATTGCCTCACCCCCCAGGGAAACAAGGCCTACAGGACCAGAGTATCTGTGTACTTAAGCCTAAATACTTCTAAATACACCAGAGTGCAACAGTGACTCATTTATTCGGTTACTCTGAGCCGGAGTACAATAATAATATGAGTTACAAAAAAGTTTTCATTTTTTTGATGGTGATCTCACGCACTACCCCCCGCCTACCCCAAAAAAATTCATCAATGGCTCACCTTCCAGGAAAAATTAGGAAAATCAGCCCCATTTTTCTCAAGTGTTAGCATTATCCTGGTAACATCCTGATGTTACCCGAGTTTATTGTATTATTTAGTGTGGAGTGAGTAAATGGATGACAAAGGCATTACCACCACAATTATCAGCTGGTTATCAGCTGCAATGTTTGTGGGCCTTCCGAGTCATGAGGGTGACACAGAATGGACTATGCCACCTTCATCCCAAAGGAGCTATGGTCTAAGGCTGAGGCATATTAATGGGTAGGTATGGGCATTCTTTCTTGGTAAATATGCTCCAGGGATGTCATTGCTAGTGTTGTTGTGGCGATGACAGACCCATACTAATCCAATGTGTCGATCCAAGCACCATGACAGTTTGGCAGAAAATGCTACTCTCATCCTATTAGAATTTTTTTTCTTTTCTTTTTTCTTTTTCCTTTCAAATAAGTAAACTTCATTTTGAACCAAAAATCCTTTTAACTTACAATCACTCAAAACTGGCTCAACACTTAAAAATGGGAACACGAGTAAATGCCGTGTATGGTTCTGTGATTCATGTTCAGGACAGAGGAAATCAAACACCCTTTGCGCCCTTATGACAAGAAGCACCAGGCACATCCTGGGCTGCATTAGGACATTGTCAGCAGGTTGAGGGAGGTGATCCTTCCCTTCTACTCAGCACTGGCAAGATACTTCTGGAGTATTGAGTCCAGTTCTGGGCTCCCAGGTACAAGAGAGACGTGGACATACTGGAGTGAGTCTAGTGAAGCGCCATGAAAATGGTTAAGAGCTTGGGGCATCTGATGTATGAGGACAGGCTGAGAGAACTGGAGCTATTCAGCCCAGAGAAGAGAAGACCCCCTGAGTCTTCTCTTCAATGTGCTATTGATGTGTATTAATACCTGACAGGAGGAGCAAAGAGGATGGAGCCAGACTTTTCTCAATGGTGACAGGACAGGAGGCAGTGGGCACAAACAAAAACACAGGAAATCCAATTTAAATACAAGAAACAACTTTTTTCATGGTGACGGTGGTCAAATGTCAGAACAGGTTACCCACAGAGGTTGTGGAGGCTCCATCCTTGGAGATAATCAAAACCCAACTAGACATGGCCCTTAGCAACCTGCTGTAGCTGACCCTGCCCTGAGAAGGGGGTTGCACTAGATGATGTCCAGAGACGCCTTTTGATGTCGACCGTTCTGTGACATTTTGTAACTGTAAGAGGAGTAAAGCATTGTTATTGAGATGAAGATGGTGAGCCTACCTTACGAAAATATGTTTATACATAAACAACATACACTGAGCTTGGGAGAAAGGAAAAAGGCTGAGAGGAGCCATGATTTCTCTCTATGAACAACATAAAAGAGTAGATGACAAGGGAAGAACTATTGAAAATAAAGAACTGGCACAAGATTAGCAGGTGACAAAGTGTTATCTGACAATGAACAAAGTTAGACTTAAAATCAAGAAGACTAAATTTGTAAAGCAACACACCAATAAGAATACTGAGAGTTTCTGAAAGGGATTATTCGACATACAGTGGAAAGGGACCAACCTTAGGCCTAGTGTTAATGAACGGCCAGAAGAGGCTGCTGTCTTAAGCAGCAGAACTCATGGGGAGACTGGGGGAAAAAGTCAGAGACTGTGTTACCAAGAAATGCGGGCAGAGGCTGAGCTTTGCAGGAACCCACAGGCGTCTCTAGGTCACCTTATCGTATACTGCTGTGGATAAGAAGGAAGGTAGCATATTTTTGTAGGCCATGTCTGTGTAAAATACTCTGTTCTAGAAGTGGAAGAGTTTTGTTCTGTGTTGAAAGTTTTTGTCATCTAAAGTTTTCCCTTTTTTAAGTGTATTTTGTCTTTCCTCTTTCTTTTGAGTGTGTGCTACAACAATCCGTTTCATCATGGAGAGAAACTGTCAAGTGAGGAGCCTGTCTCATCTCTCAAATAGTGTGGAAATGGCCTACAGAACAGATGTTAAACTTTACACCTCCAGACACTTAAATCATAACAAGCTTTATAAGCCTTCAGAGAAAATAAAACAGAGATGATAGTACTCTACCAGGAAAAAAACTAGTTTTGTGACAGAAAGAAATCAATTCCCAGCTGAAAATGAGAAAGCAAGGAAGATGAAAAGATTTTCAGGTAACTTTTGTTCCAGCATCTCTCTACTTCCAGCACAGGCTGAATCTTCCTGCCCTAACAACAGACGTCCACAGTCATCTGTGACCGGTGTTGGTGCCTCATCAGATTTTTCTACTCCACTGGAAATGTTAAAGTTGAAAGCGCTTAAAAAGAAAGTAGAGGAGGGAACTGACAGACTTCGTATGCATCTCAAAAGAGATGAGTTAAATGTGTCAGAGATTATGGTGCTGGAAAACAAACCAGTTAAGAACAGCCGACACTGTGTTGTGGAGCTTGCCAAGGAGGAATACCAGTTCATACCTTCATACTTGGCTGGTGTAACTAAAACTGAACAGTTTAACAAGTTCCTCCATTTCCAGGAGTTCATAGCAAAGCATGAACTGTTACAGAATGATTTCACAGGGAGCAAAGTATCAGAGCAGCATGAAAGAAAGCTGGCTAAGGTAAGAAAAGGAGTCCCCAAGTTGATGGAAAGGTAAATTTTGCATTATCTTTCTGGGTGGATTGGTTATGTGTGTTTCAGGAAAATAGAATGGGCTTAGGCAAAATCACCTCTCTCTTCTTGTCAGAGAGATAATCCCATGCATTTGCTTAGTTGCACACATCTACTATGTGCTCCAAAACCCTGAGCCCAAAACTATATGCCACTGTTTACCCTTCCTGCCATTGTCATGTGGAAACGTTGTGTTAAGTACACAGTAAAGCAGGATCTTGCAAGCTAGTGATCCATATGGGAAAAATCACTGTTGGTCAGCAGCTCTGAAGGAACCATATATTCAGCGTCTCGTCCAGCAGCATGTTTAAAGTAATTTGTTAAAGAAACTACCTTCTCTATGTGTGCTGTAGACTCTCTTTACGCACAGACAGTTGCTGCAATCTGGCTGGCCTCTTCAGATGAGTGGGATGGGGAGTGAATTTGATGAGTCAAGCACATACACCTTGCAGAAGTTGCTTTTGTTGCTTGAGTTGCTGCCTTGGGGGAAGCATTAACAATCTCATCAGCACTCAGAGCCAAATGCAGGAGTGAGAGTAAGATACTGGATTAATAGAAATAGAATAATGAGAGTAAGATACTGGAACTTAATGAAAGCAGTTAGGGGTAGGTAAGCTAACAAATGGCTAGGCTAGTGTGGGCTGGAGAAGAACTGGCATTTCATGTAGCTGAGAATAATTTTTGAAAGAATTTGGCACCTTGTCCCTCACTGTGGTACTTATGGTCAAGTTTTCATCCTTTGTAAGATGCCAGCTGGTTTATCAAGGGCATTTTACAGAGAATTAAGCAGTGGTATTTGCAGGACCAGGGGAGAGATGACTGCTGACGAGAAAATAGAGGCCAGGCTTGACTGAAACAGCCATCCCAACAGCAGTGCTAAGTATACCAGAAACTGGCAAAGAAATGACCAAGGAAATAAGCAGAGGTCTTTCTTGCATACCTCCAACACGCTATCAAAGCTTTTCAAAAAAAGTTATGCAAAATGAGGGAAGGGCTGTGGATGAGGTCTAC